CAAGATTTGCACGAATCGTTCGCGTCTGAAGATTATAGCCAAGATGTATTTATTTCAACTATCGAGAAGTTTGCGTCAGATTTGAAAGAAAAATGTCACTTGTTATTGTCATCGTCAAAAGAAGCTTTAACTTGTGAAGAAAACGTTCTGAAGCAAACGTCGGAAAAGTCAGTTGAAGAGGAGTCTTCTATCGTGACAAACGATCCAGCAGAACGTATTGGGGTAAAGCTGAATGAGTCACAAAAGAATTTTCTAATAGCCTTGGGACCTTGTCAGCCGATTCTTGAAAGTTATCCAACGAACCAGACAATCGCTAAATCGAAACAAAATTCGTTTACATCAAAATGGTACGAATCAATGCCTTTTTTGGAATACAGTCCAACTCTGGATCGAGCTTTTTGTTTTGCCTGCAGCCTGTTCGGGGAGGGTTCTGGGACATCATGTTCATGGACAAAAGATGGAGCAAACCGCTGGGATAAGATGAAAGGCCGGGGGAAAAGCAAGCAAGGAAAACTGGTACAGCACTTCACTAGTGCAGCTCATAAAGCATCGGTTGATCGGTTCGATATTTTTTCAAAAAGAAGTCACCACGTCGATGTAGCATTATCTAATGCGAGAAAGCAATTACTTGCCCAAGAAGAGCGGGAACGTCTGCACAATAGAGAAGTCATTAAAGTTATTCTAGATTGCTGTAGATACTTGTCAAGACAAGCCCTTGCTTTTCGTGGTGGCGATGATGATCTAAATGGAAACTTCAGACAATTAGTAAACCTATTGTCACGCTGGATTCCTTTTCTAAAAACCTGGTTGACCACAGTCCATTTGCGTCCAAACCGTGTCACTTACTTGAGTGGTAAATCCCAGAATGAATTGATCAACCTTTTAGCAGTTGAAGTGCGCAACATTTTAACAGAACAAATACGTTCTTCGGCTGTTTACGCTGTACTTGCTGACACAACACCCGATGTTGCTCATGCCGATCAAATATCTTTAATTATACGCTATGCGGACGCAGAGTTTCGCATCCAAGAACGGCTTCTCAAAATATCAGAGATCTCTTCTAAAACCGGTGATGGATTTTCTCAAAAGGTTCTAGCAATGGTAAGAGAATTGGGTATTCCCCATGCTGGTATACGTTTTCAGTGCTATGATACAACAGCTTCGATGTCCGGGGTTTACAATGGGGCACAAGCGAAGTTAAGTGAGCATTTGGAGCGAAAAATACCCTACATTACTTGTCTTGGTCATAAAACAAATCTTTGCGTCGAACATTCCTGTAAATCTTCCGTTATGATCGAAGAGTTTTTTACCACATTGCAAGAGCTTTATAACTTCCTAACAAAAAGCACAAGTAGATTCGGAAAATTAAAGAGCAAAATCGAAAGTTTACAGGAAGGGCTCATCATGAAGAATCTTTCGCAGACTCGATGGATTGGCAGAGCTGAGTCAATCAAAGCTGTATGGGTCAGTTATGAAACGGTGATTGGCACTCTTCACGATATACACGAGTGTGATGAAACAGATGGTGATGCCAAAAAGACTGCCACAAATTTATTAGACAAATTAAAGTCATTCGAATTTTATGTCAGTCTTTTGTTTATGAAGAATGTGCTTTACAAAGCGAAGATTGTGGTGATGGAAGTGCAAGAAATCGAGCAAGATATCCTAGCAGGTGTCGAAGTACTACAGCAAACTCGAAACGAAATGCTTCGCATGCGCGAAGATGATGCGTTGCTATGGAGGGAATTATATCAGCAGCAACCGAGAAATGCGAGTCCTATGGAATCAATGTGGAGTACGGATTTTCAAAACGACACCGACCACGGAGAACACCTGCCCGTTTCGACGAAAATTTTGCCACTGCTACTGTGCCTAGCTTTAGCCAACACTATCGGAAAGAAATGTTTAAGGTATTAGATCGTCTTGTATCGGACATAAACGAAATTGATGAATATTTATCTGATATTGTGCTACCTATAATTATTTTGCTTCCAGCAAATTTACCCAATTGTTCCAAGCAAGAAGTGGAAAATTTATGCGCAGCATTTCCACAGGACTTCAAAGATCCAGACGCTATGTGTGCAGAGATTAAGTTAATATCTTCCGATATCGAGAAAAGTGGTGCCAAAAATCTGAAGGAAGCAGCGAAGTGTGTACTTGGAAAACAACAGTTTTATCCCAACCTGACGAAAGCGTACCAGCTTGCATTAACAATTCCAGTTTCTGTCGCAAGTAATGAGCGTTCATTTAGTAAACTAAAACTTGTTAAAAGCTATTTGCGATCAACGATGAAAGAAAACCGTCTTGACGACTTGATGATTTTATCTTCATCTGTAGATATATTAGACGAACTTGAATTGGATAAAGTAGCTAACTCGTGGTCTTTATATAAATCAAGAATGATAAAAATCTAGTTTTGCTAAAATCATTATTAATTAATTCCTAAGGTATATGATATGTGCAATAGGTACCATACTTGAAAATTACCAAATATGTATACTCAAATTACAACTTTTATCCTATACAATTGGAAAGGGAAACGCCGTTTTCGTCGGTAAAAATGGGATGCTACACCCCCCCACTAGAAATGGCCCAGGAACGCCACTGTTTACTTTAGATGGTACTACAATCATATGATGAAAAACATTGACCATCGGGTCAATAATTGAAGAGTTTATATCACCTAGCTGTATGCATGTCCCTTTGTTGCAAAATCTTTAATTATTTTATCTTTTCCTATAAAAGCATAGTTTAGCAGATATATATAGTTAACATACTGCTATTTGATTTAAGCTTGCTATATTGTCAATCAATATCACTTAGGGTGGGTGGCTACCCTGCACCAAGGTATGTAAAACCTGAAGAAAAACCTCAAAGCACCCAGGGTGCATTCCATGTAAACTCTATGCCGGAGATACGCCAACATGTACAATCCTTTATGCCAATACATCGGAGATTTTCAATTTTGGGGACTTAAATCCATGTTTTGAAAATAGCTAATATGGTGTGTTTTTAATATGTACTACATGTCAACGTCATATTTGTGTAGCTATACTGTTAATTTACATGTGGCCATGAAATCAGGCACAAACCAGGGCTCAAAATAATATTCCCAACGTTCCCGATCATGGTGATCGGCAATCACGACTTTTTGCCGATCAAATAAAAATCTGACCGATCAGGAGCATTTGCCTGAGTTCCCTTGAAAAAATTCTAAATATGCCAAATGAATACACATCTGAACAGGAAGTTTAACTTCATTTCAAATTCAAGTTTATTAAATCTACGACATTTGTAGACTTATATAATAAATACCACAGCCAATACTATTGGTATTGACAATAGTAATAGTGTAACACTTTTCAAGTTTTAATTATAGTTATTGCATTTTTTCCACACAAAAGCAAGAAATACAGCAGCACATAGATGGATTTTCATATTTTTTACTGGGGGTGGTGCCAGAAATTTTAGTGGGGTGAGCCGTGAGCAGGTGACTGAAGCAACACAAAGTGTCAGCAAACCCCAGTAAGGTCTATATTCTAGAGGTGGAGCACTATAGAGCCGCGAGGGGGAGTCTAGAGAGCAGAAAACAAAGTATGCCAGGAAAAAGTTTTTTGAAGTTGTCATATCAATGGATTTGGCATGTCCGATTGTCTATTGTCTGTTGAGACTTGAGAGAGTTAAAGTGAAATGAACCTGTAAAAGTGTGAACCCAATAGGCCAATACACAATATGCTTTTATTTTTATAAAGTCATTGACATTGTGTCGTTTGAATCCGAGTACAATTTATGATGCAACTCCGATGTAAATAATATTTGGGGCGTAAAGATTAAATCTAGGCAAGTCTATTTCCTAAAAGAATTAAAAACTAAAAATAATGTTCATAAAAATTCCAAACGTTCCTTGCAAGCAAGCTATTTGCATGACAAGGCACTGCAAACTCTATTCAGGGGAGATAATAGAGTTTCAAGACTTTACAATTGCTCCAATAAACCAGTGAATGCAAGCGAGGAGCGATTAGTTTCAGAGTATTGCACCGGCTTTTTCTATTTGAGTGTACTCCTACGTTTATTTTGTATCATCAACACTCTGCACGTCGCAGTGGACTATTTAATTATTTTTTATTATGCTGAATATTGGGGGGGGGGTTGAAAATTTTTGGAGGGGTGGACATTTTGTTGGGGGTTATAGCTAATATTTGAGGGGTAGCACCCCCCCTGCCCCCCCCCCCCTCCCCACACACACACACACACACACAAAATCCGTCTATGCCGCAGCATTATCAATTAAGAACTAAAACTTATTATTTAATATTAAAAGAGAAAATCCTACAAAAAATAAAAAAATCTACTCAAAAAACCCTATCAATTTGAAATTTTAATATATTATAAATTAACAACAAAAACGTTCGTCGTCAGTGGTTCTGATTGCAGACTGTTGAAGAGACGACAGTATTTCTTGCAAATTTGTTTTATAGTAAATTACTTTAGAGCGAGAAACGGCCTTTCCTGTCGTATGACTCGTATCAACTAAACAAGAGCTTTTCACGTGTATTTGAATGTGTTTTATATTACTTTTATTTGTCTTTTGCCATGTACAGGCAAGCATGTCTTTCAGACAATGGTCAAATATATTTCTTGCCGATCAAGATGAACGGCAACGTTGCTTCTTCGCCGATCAAAAACAATTTCCTGCCAATCATTGATCGTTGATCATGCCGTTATTTCGAGCCCTGCAAACTAATCACTTGTTTTCGAGTGATCTCACGCCATTACGCCAACAATTTTGCAACATCACGCCGGATATATCCGGATATATCCGGCGTGGAGTGCATGGAATGCACACCGACAAAGCACATCAGGGAATGAGACACAACTCTTCTTACCACATTTAATTTTTTTTTAAATGTGGTAAGAAGAGTTGTGTCTGATTCCCTGATGTGCTTTGAGGTTTTTCTCCAGGTTTTACATAAGTGGCAGGTGGCACACCTTCAATATAGCTGCATCCCCAGAAATTCAGCACACAGCTGTGACAATTAAAGTCCAACTTAAATGTGAGGAATAATGTTATACCAAAGGCATGCATGTCCACAACATTATCTTAGCTAAATTAGGGATGAGCCGATAATTGGAAATTAATCAGTAGAAGCCGATAATCGGCAGCTTTCAGGCATGTCGGTTTAATACCAGCCAATCACATTGACATGTATTGTGATGTACAGCGGTCTGATAAATATCATTCTGGCTTTTTGTTTGTGATATTCCCTATTCTAGCTTGTCAAGAAAAACTGTGCGGGTTTGTCGGATAGATTCTCTTCCACAAAGGAACTGTCAGATTTATACTAACTAGAGGTGTGCATCAGATCGGATTGGACGTTAACTTTATAATCCGACAATTTGCTAATGTTTAAATTAAAATCCAATCTGAAATGAATGTCTAATCCGAATCCGATCCGTTTTGATAAAGAGTAAGGTTAGGTTACCCATAGGGTAGTGAGTGCAGCCTGTGCAGAATCTGGTAAATAATATTTGGATTTCAAACTATAGTACCGCTAAAACCAATTGAACACACAGTTTGGCTGTAACTATCTCTAGAGTTGTTTAATTAAAATTAAAAATATTTGTCATTGATTAAATGCATAATATTATATGATGTATTTTAAGGTTCGTGATGTCCTTGAAATTCCCAAGAAAACTGGGAAGTTTAAACTGGATCGTGAAAAATTAGAAGATTTTGACGTGTTTGTTCAGTCGACATCCTACAATCGTATTTTGGTGGCAGACTCGGATTTCTTGTATGATACCGGAGAAGCTGAGGTGAAGGATGATGCTAGTGCACCCAGCACTTCAGCTGAAACAGGTTTGGAAAACTTTCACCATAGGCAGCCCAGCAAATATATGTATTCATTTAAAAATGTGTTAAACACTTAAGAACTTTTGTCAGACTTTGCTGTCAAGCGATTTATTGTCTGGCTCATTGTGTATGCAGATCTATACAATGATGTGAACATCCGAATCTTGCTTGATAGCAAAGTCAGACATACTTTATACTGTATGCATATTTAAGCATTTAAGGTGGCTCCCTACAGTTATTCTTGTTTAAGCAATAATTCCGTAAAACAGGCTTATTCGTGCAGAACGCGAATTCTTTTCGACTTGGTGGCGTTATTGGTCACCTAAGGAATATTTCGAACTAGATTTCGACGATGTCAATGTTTCCATGGCAACATGACGACAGCATAAAGCCTTCCAATTTAACTCATAAATGTGCCGCTATCTCAAAAACGATGTCGGTGACCTATCTTTTTTATTTCATATATCAATAAGGAATGATGCTCTGCAACTGTGGTGAAAGTTTAAAAAAATTCTGCAGTGTGTGATTTTTTTAAAAGCGAAAAATTTATTGCGAAATTTCCACACTACAGATTTTTTTAAAATTTGAAATTTATAAAATTTACCGCAAAATAAATTCGTGGTCAAAATTTGAAGATAGGTCACCGATGAAACTAATGAGTAAAATGCAAATAAAGTTAGAAAATAGCCTCGTGTAACTCGAGAAATTCCCCTATTGAAAAGCGTCGCTGACTAGTAAAAGATTGTACGCGGGCGCAGAACGAGTTTTCATTCAGCAAAATCGAGCCGCAATGTTGTTTTTACTGTTTTGTTTTTGTCAACTTTTCGATTTATTTGAGTGCTATGGACAGCCAAGGATTATTGTGAAGGATTAAATCGATGAAAACAAGGTTGAAGCTAATTGAATCCTGCCGTTTACTCAATCTATGAGCTGTAACAACCTATTAACAGGTGGACGTGTTTTTTTGTTTCATGTTTGGTTTTGTACTTTTTGCTAAAAATGAACAATTAGGCTATGAAACTGAAATATTTTTCTGTTTACATATAATCACTTTAATCTTGTAGAAACACGACTAAAAACGTGAACGTTTTCTTGAGAAGTAAACAACTTTTTAAACGTTTTCTATGCAATTTTGCAAATGTTTTACAGTTGAGTCAGTTGACAATATTGTTTCGTAGCTATCTTTTGGTCTAGTGATATTCGTATCATATGTAGAATTGCTGTATAGACTCGCAAGTGATTTGGCACTCAAAACGAAGTATTATTCAACGCTTTTTTCCATTAGAAACCTTTCAGAAATAGCTTTATTTTTAAAAAAAGCATGGTCAATTTTTGTTTTGTTTTGATGATGCAGTTGCGTGGGATAGTTCCCGTACTTGTCCCGCGAACATCCCGCACGGAACTGTAGGGAGCCTCCTTAACACATTTTTAGTGAGTGTCATATACATGTATTTGCTGGGCTGCTTATAATGCATTCACACCATTTTATTTTCTGCCAAAAATGTAGTGTAAATCTTAGCAAAAATATAATGCTGTTAGCACAGTCCCTCAAACTGCTTCAAAAAAATTAAGATCATGTACGTATAGCCTCCTGTGAGCAAGACAGATGCTTGCGGGTTGGAACAGTAGGCTGCAAAAGCCCATGGGAATGTTTCATATCAACATGGGATGAGTGACTGGGGACAAGTCAGTCCTGTTAGTACATGACAGTTAATTATAGGCCTGGTAGGCTGTTGGGATACTGTAGGAACGTGTCTTCAACGTTTTTAATTGGATGTATGAATGTAATAGCTGAGTTGACCAGCCAAGTGATTCCTCAACCAAGTGCATGATCTTAAAAACTTAAGACTTCGGTTATCAAAACAAATATCTCGATCCATGTGTTGACATGATCAAATTACAATGTAATTCTATATAATTACCTCGAAGGACTTGCAAAACTTGTACATTTCATTCATACAACACAAAATAATATTTAATACTAATTATTTTTGGTTATCTTTCTTTAGGTACCAAAGGAAAAAGTGAAACACCTGTGAAAAGAGGTAGATCTGCTAAAGACAGTGAAGAGGTAATAATGCCTTAAGACACGTGCAAACACGTGATTTTATACCTGATAAAACACTTCTACTCCTGATACTCGTGTTTTAAGTGAGGCCTAGTACTTAAAATTATGACACAGTGATACATGGGTTTAGAGCAATGCAAGTGCATTTTGTTAATACATGCTGTTAGCTGGTGTATGGTCACCTTGATACTGTATTTGATAGAGTATATATTTGTATAAAGTACTGTGATACAATATTTAACTTTAATCATGCACTTGTATCTGGATAATATATATGTATTTGGGGGGGGGGGACAGTATGCAGGTAATGGCGTATGCAAATTACAATACAATACAATAAACTTTATTTAACGAGGGTAACACCAATTAAAAACGTATTCTCCCTAGTGGCCCTCAAATTATGTGGTTGAAATGATTTTCAGCAACTGCATCTCTCTCCTCAATAATATTTTATTCTCAACAGGCAATGAAGATGGAGAGAAAGGCGATGATAAGAAAGGGGAGCCGGCAGGACCATCTCCCAGTAAAAAGCCAAGACCAGCTGCGTCATCTGGGACATCTGATGTGAAAGAAATTGTGTTTTCTTTTGATACAACAGGTTCTATGTATCCGTGTCTAACTCAGGTGATGATCAGCCCATGTGCAATATAACCAGCATTTCTAAGAATATTCTGGTGAAAATTTAAGAGGGTCACGCGAAGAATTCGTTGCTTATTTCGGTTTTCTGCTGTTTTCTGCTGTAAATCAAAGTTTAGAATCACAATCAAATGAATCAAATGACAATTAAGTAAGGGAAATGGGCAATGTTAGCTTTGGGTTTTTTCTGCTCTTAGTACAGATTTACTAAAACAATGAAACAAAGTTCCTACGCGGTTGCCTGCATAATTGGCGATTTTAAGGGGTTTCGGAGGTGCGGTTAGCCAATGCCAAAGTTGTTACTTGTAAACTAAAGCAATTATACAGTATCTACGGACGGTGTTGTAAAGTTCAAATGATGAATAAATTGACACTTCCCATCTTGCAGATAACAATGTTGATTTCTTGCAATATTCTAGGTTCGACGAAAGGTTGCAGAGACGATAAGACGTGTTTTCCAAGATATTCCCAACATTAGGGTAGCAGTGTTTGCACATGGTGATTATGAAGATAAAACCACCACATACGATACAAAATGGGTAGATTTCACTACCGACGAAAGCAAACTATGTACGTTTGTAAATGATGTATCTGCAACATGTGGATACGATTTTGAAGAATGCTACGAACTTGTATTAAGACAGGTATGTGTATATGTTCTTTTAATTTGTTGTATTTCTTTTTTTGTAATTCGTCCATGTACTGTTGTCTGACTTGTCTATACATGAGTATAGTACGTGCAAACACTGAATGCTCATGCACATCAATAGACCTTATGCATAATGACGTCACAAGGCCTGTTCAATTCAAAATGGCCACTATTGAAATTTTCCCGGGCGATGACTACTAAGACCAGCATTCCTCGCGGGCATCAAGCCTTGTGTCATCATTATGCATAAGGTCTATTAAACTGTAATTGATAGTTCAATGGACTGTTTATTGCACTTGTGACGTGTGCGCATACGCGCGATTTAGCATAGTTATTAACCTCTTCTGAATATAGTTCGTTTTTTACTCGGGTAACAGACTCTTGCCCCAATGGCCTTGTTTTCATGTTGCCGCGTGAATAGCGCAGAGAAACATATTCGTGCACGAAACATGGGGACATACCTATATATAACTTTCATGTGCGTCTGCTATAGTGCAATTAACAGTAAAGTCTATTGAATGATGTGTTTCAGAAATCGGCACAAACAGCAGATGGTTAGCCTGCGAACAGGCTCTCAAGCAGAATTGAGAGCCTGCATCGGTGACTAATGAATTTGAATATCTGCTCCGTAACGTTCGTTTTTCCAAATATGGAATGTCTATCCTAATATGGTGTTGTTTACAACTTTCGTGCAAACTAAATTCAGACCGTGCAAACTAAATTTAGACCGTACAGTTTATACTGTTTTTCGAAATATAAGATATTCAAGCAAAAGTTCAAATGTTTTAAATACTGTTTTCTCAAAACAGAACATTTCGTGCTTTGAGATAAGATGGCCAAGACCAATTTGATCAGTTAATGTGTTTTTTATGCATAGTGCTTCAGCAGTTGATATATATAGAGCTCAGCGGAAACATATAAATTATAGCATCTGACCAATGAGAATTTCGCGTCACGATTTGAGACGCAGATATTCAAATTCATTAGTCATCGCTGCAGGCTCTCAATTCAGCTTGAGAGCCTGTTCGCAGGCTAGCAGATGGTGGGAGCAAGCAACTTATATGACACCACATCTGCTGCAAAATAGTGCACAGTCAAAGTCATTACATTGTGGTAGAGTTTCGTTTGGTTTAGTTTTCAAGATTCAAAACTCTGAAATACAAACATGTTCTCGGCTCCTCCATATAGGCAACTCTGTAGTTCTGCAACGTTGAATTATGTTCTCAAGAAGTCTTAATTCTTATCAATAACTAAAGATTTCTTCTCAGGGACGTAGGAAATACAAGGAAATATGATATTATAGTGAACAAGAAACGTAAATTGAAAAGCCCTGGAGCGAAGTATATTGTGGATTATTTAGGAAGTGGAAAAAAAGACAATTAGATATATCCAGACTATTTCACCAACGTTTTAATCTTTATTCTCTCGTGTAGGTCAGGACAGAGCTATCATGGACTCCTAATTCCCAGCGTTCTGTGGTGATGATAGGAGATGCTCCTCCTCATGGTCCTGGATATCACCTGAATACCCTCAAGATCAACTGGAAAGATGAAGCAAAGCAGTTGTATGAAGATATGAATGTTCATATTTATGCCGTTCAAGCTTTAGGCAACAGTTCCTCGACATCATTTTACAGGTAATGGTTTAACACTTTCAAAGCAGATGTTGAACAGACCTGGAGAAACGTAGGATCTTAGGATACTGCAGGGCCCAGTTGTTCAAAAGCCAGTTAGCCTAATCCTTAACGAAGAATTTCCAAGCAAACATTCCAACAGCTTGTTGAAAAAGAAGGAAATATTTATCCAGTTATCTTGTCTGGATCGACATAAGTTTTATTTTCTGAAAATTTGAAGTAAATAGGCATGCAGGATTTTATTCTACATTTCTTGCAGAAAATAAAATGCCAGGAATGCACAAACCACAACAGCAGGTTAAATTTTAACCCAGGGTCAGCGCTGGGCGAGCTCTGAACAACCGACCCAGATATCAAACACTTTTCGCAAGACCAGTGCACTGATTGTATATTATTTCTTCTTGAACTGGATGCAGAAAAAAGAATGAGTCTTTACATTTACTAAAAAGCTAGTCTACATAAATATCTATTTTCACGTGTTCGGTTATTTCTATGTTTTCCTGATGAAAAGCTCTAAAAATACAACAATCAATCAATTTCATTCAGTCAACTGGCGAAAATCACATGTGGATGGCATTTAAAACTCGATCAATTTGCATCAATCGTGGACTTCCTGACCGCAATCTGCTATCGTGAACAATCGATGGAACAACTACAAGCATTCGAGGAGGAAGTAAAAGGACGTGGCAAAGGTTTGTTTCAAATAATGCATGCATATTATATCAATCCTTCCGTTAAGCCAGGTTTCCATATATGGTATAGCTGTCGTAAAGATTGAGCCACGATCTCAATTCTCAACTACAGTAAGTACAATTAGAGTGACTATTACAATAGTCAATAGAGAATACTTGATTTATATATGATTATAATCTGGCTTTTGAGAAAGATCGTGATTCTGTTATTACGACCGTTATGACCATATGGAAACTACCTGGCTTTACAGTCGCCAATAAATAAACTGCCTGTTCTCGCTCGAAGCTTCAACGTTTGCCACCGACTGTTTGCAAAGTGTCAATAAACATGAATCGTAGCTAATCTGATTAAAATCTGCCAAATGCTCTTGACAAACATGACAGTTCCATGCGAGCATATTTTTTTATTTGCGAACTTGCGCTCCTCCTTAATGGGAGCGACGATATGTACAATAAATGGTAAAATGAGGTAGAAACAAGAGGCAGTTATTTTCCATAAGAGTTTAAATATTTAAAAGTTTTGATTTGTGGGAACTCCACGTTCATTTATTATTGCAAAGCTTCCCTTTATCTGTGCGAATAAAAGCTTACGGATCGATATCAATAAATATACGTGGTGTTAACACAAACCAAAACTTATCATTATTCACCATGCAAAACTACCAAAAATGCTTTCCAGTTGTTCAGCGTTTTTCACTCGTGTGTGTACACACGGAAAAGTTTAACTCCTTTTAATTGAATAACTAATTGAATAAAAGTACAGAATTTAGTTTTCTGTATAATTGAATGTGTTTTTGTTGAGGTGGTTAGTACTATATAACATAAGTTAGAAAGATTAAAACTTTTCCGTGGGTACACGATGGAAAACGGCTGTAGCTGGAACGTCTATCGTCTGTATTCTAAAAGCTCACTCACGCTCACACTCAAAGAGTGGAGGTTCAATTTGAGCTTCCCTTGAGTGCCAGTTCTGTTTTTGAATTGCTTGATGGTTAGTTTCGTACCTTACTAAGTGACTACTCACCCTCCAGTTATTCACAAATATTGAACCTGCACTCTTTGAGTGTGTGCGTGAGTGAGCTTTTAGAATACGGGCGTAAGTATTTGTTTTATCCACAGGTTCCGGTATGAACCGTTCACTACATGCACTCTTCGACACACTTGCTGGACGAGAAATATCAACTTACAAAGAAACTGCATCATGTGATCTGGTACCTATCAGTCCATCTCGTTTCCAAATACTTGATGTAGATGAGCGTGTCGATATTAAGACCTTTGTTCAACGCAACAGTCTAATATTCCGTACAGGACGAGGTTTCTATGAATTTACGAAACCAGAGAAGATTTCAGATAAGAAGGAGGTTGTGTTGGTCGATAAAGTCTCCGGTGATATGTACACAGGAGCCGAGGCATGCAGAATGATAGGCGCTGGCGGTGCAGGAAAGGTTAAACCCACTGATCTCGAGAAATGGCGAGTTTTTGTTCAAAGTACTTCATATAATCGGGTACTGATGCCAAATACTGGATTTCTCTACGAGGTCGATCCAGACCACTAACCTACGTGGTGAATAATCAGGTATGAAGGTTTATTCCTAAATTACTCCTGAAAATAATATGCCACATCGCAAATCTATCTATTATTACAACAGATCATAAATTTAGTTAATTGGTTAGAACTCAATAGTAACAACTTTAAATTAAGACGGGGAGAATCTCCACTTTGCCCCAGCCCCACATCTCCTCCCTTCTCCCTATTCAGTAGAAAGTCTCAGATTTCATTTTGAGACAAGATTTTCAATTTGCATATCACTAGTCACGCCACATATTTCTGACACTACTGCCTCTTGCAAATGATGACCATAAAGAATATGGTACACTTTGGACTGAAGGAACCAAACGCAATGTACTAACCAGTGAACTGTGCCACCTCATACCTCAACTGAACTGCACAGTTAACCACGCCTAATAAGTACTGTTGCACATGATATAAAATTGCTTTACATCAACCTCGTGCCCTTCTTGAAAAATCTCTTCTTTTGCAGTTTGTTTTACGTGGCACCAACATTGTTATCTTCAAGACATCCTACTTCCACAAAGAGGTACCGGAAGGCTGCCAGAAATTCAGCAATGCAATGTATGGCAGTTGGACAGAATGTTTTAGAATGTGAACGATTATTTCGTATTTTCCAACCGTTGCTTCGAATCACTAGAATTCTAGATTTCTAACAAGCAATTGGAGACAGACGTCTAATGGAACAACGTTAATTTTTAATGAATTGTAGTGAATTATACATGTTTTTATTTGCACAAATATATATTACCAAGTGGTTTACAGTAAATTTATCTTCACACCAGTTCCTTGCAGTATATTATATGCTACCAAATAATCTATAGATGTATATTACATAACCCCATTTATACATAGACCATTAATTCACTGGCACCGGGGGGAGACGACCCCCAGACGGAGGTCTGTTTATAGTTAGATTTTCCAGATCATGAATTTGTTCACGTAACTTTCTTATTTCATTCTTTTGAATACTAATGATTTTCTCTAAATCATCGGCTGTACTTTCCCTGGATGTGGTGTTCTTTCTTGGAGGTGCTGATTTAACTCCCTGCCCACCACTCCCTTGTGTCCGACGCATCACTCCGAGAGCTGCTTCGAGGTCGTGTACTTGCGTGCGGGCGATTTTTAATTCTCTGCGAAGATCATTAATTTCTTTGATAAGCGTAACATTTTCCTGCAAGAGAAGACGAGAGTACATCACTGTTCTTCTACTGGCTCCGTGTACGCGGTGAAGCATGCATTGCAACGATTTTTAATTGATTACAATTGTATTTTAATATTGTATAATCGCTCTAATAGACTTTACTGTTCATTGCACTTTTTCCCCCAATGGCCTCCATGTTTGCGTGTTTTATGGCAGACGCACGTAAATGTTATATCGCCATGTTTCGTGCACAAATATGTTTCTCTTTGATCTTGAACCCAATCACAAACCTTAAACCAACTATGCACGAAGCATGAGGAAATAATCACATGAAAACATGGCTATTGGGGTAAGAGTACAATAAACATTCAGTAAAGTATCTTTATTTACTCTAGACCTCGATTCTGAGATGGGTTCGATTCTCGCTGCAGACTCATGGCATTTATGTTAAACGAGTCGCTCACCACTCTACCGAAAGTCGTGCTCAGTCATGAGTCATATGGTGGCTGCCACAGGCGCCCTTTAATAGACAGCCTTCCACTTGATCAGACTGAGCTGTGTTCTTCGCAATTCCGGCTAGCTCGCAGCTGCAAGAGATGATTAGCAGACACCCACCTGCCATATCTGGTTTAAACCATAGGTCCAGTAATGGTAATCCCTGTTAACTATACTTGCGATGTTTGGTAGAGTGGAAACACTCTTCTCACATGCAACTCAGGCAAAATTCTAATATTACAGAAGAATACTAAACCTCGGTCATAGACGTTGTGAAAGGCACATGACATGCACTAACCATTATGAACCAATTAATACACACCTGCATGATCCTGACATTATCCGCACGATGAATTTCATTGTCTTTCTCAAGTTTCTTTCTTAACGAAGCAACACTCCGCTCTAAATGTTCTCGCTGTCGTGAGTATTCGCGCTGGATGTCCGCGTCTACACTTGCTGATGACTCGTTCTGCAAGGAAATGGGGGAAGTGAGTTAAAATGTGGTTAGAGAAGGAAAATAGAGAAACAAAGAAATAACAATGAAGCCCTGGACAAGCTAAGAGTCATTGTTGTGGAAACATAGTGAGTCTACGAAAATGGCGGGGAGATGAGGAGAAGATGCATAAAAAGCTTAAGGTCTATAAGGTAGCTAGGTTCACCGTATCTTCTTTGTGATAAGAAGAAGTGACCACTTCGTGAATATAATTTTACCCCAGTTTGCTTGAGCTTCGTCAACACAATACTATTTTCAGTCTTTCGAATATAGCAGCCAATATGTGGACGTTTGACTGTCAGGGAAACCAGGAAACATTGTTTCCGCATCAAAAATGAAATGGGGAACAAAATAGTATGTTTCTGAATTTGTTGGCGAGAATTTATTTCCTCAACAATCTTTCCCCACATGCGAGTCATATTAGTAAATAAAATTTCACGTGTGCAAGGCAAATCTGGCATACCGTATCATCTTGTACATATTTCTGATACAACTGCTTGACACTTTCCTTCAATTTCTTCGGTTCTTGTATAAATCCCACACAATTATACAGTTCAGTTTTGAACCGTTTCACCACCGCTTCCACATCGGTCACCTACAGGAAAATGTTATTTCTTTATTAGCATCGACTGTAATTTAAATATGGAGACAAAAACTCTGAATGATGCGAATTTATTTTATTTGTTCGAATGGGACATGGTGGACGCTTTGCTTTAAGCCTGGTCCTCATTACCACGCACGTACTGTACAAGCATAAGAGGGATCAAACGTACAGTATTGACTTTTTATGTACTGGCCTCACTACGACGCAAACATAATCATAAGCCAAAACGTTGCGTTATTTCCATTATGCTTATGTTGTTGCTTGCGCTTTATTTTGCATTGTAGTGAGGACACAGTGAGAACAGTATAAGAACAACCGTTTGCTTGTGCTTGCATCGTGGTAAGGATCAGGATTAACACTTGGCATAACAATAGTGTGAATTTGAAAGTCGTTGTCGTCGTCGTTGTTGTTACAGATACCTTTTGTCTCTCCATATGCATCTCCTTGTCAGTTGCCTTCAACTTCTGACGTAATACGTCAATATTCAACTCTAATGAAGTGTTGCGTTTATGGAAACGTTCTAACTCACTTTCCATCTAAAATGTGGAAGACATTCAGTTATGTAGCGCCAGTGTCTCGTAGAAAATTATTGTTTAATTAAACATTTCTGCACCATGCTTTTTATTCAAATACAATCACGTGTATTCAAATACAATCACAAATCATGAAAGTCAATAACTGCGCGATAATTAGGCTGAATATCTATGGCAGGAGGATCTGTTCCAAACGTTATGATAATTATTAATTATTATTTGAATAAAGCATGCAGGCGCCTCTTTGCAGGCTAATTGCAACTAATTGTATAAACAGATGCAGGATGCGTGTGTGGTTTCATCACTGGTTATATATGATTGACAATAAAGGACAAGATATGCTATAGCTTTTTATAGTTTGATTTAGATAACGTTTGGTCATTCAAACAAGCCATTTCAAACACAAGCCTGTAGCTGTCGACCAAAACCCCCTCTTATCATGACATGTTACCTCTTGTATCTGTTCCTTCATGGCTTTAATATCATTTTCTCTTGGTTCAATTTGCTTCTTGAGTTCCTTGATCTTGTAATCCAAGACAAACTTGAACTTTTCCAGTTCTTGGTTTTTCTTCTTTAAATCATAAATACGTTTCTCCTGCAGTAAACAAAAGTATTTAGAATTCTTCAGTGTGAAACTCATAATCTTCTTACATAACAGTTGTAAAGCCCATTAAAAAACAGAATTTTTTTTCGCAAGGATTATTTAATTCAATATACCTAAGTAGATTAAATTATGGTAAATGTCAGCCTGTGATGAAACCTGTTTAGCCTGATAAAATTAAATTCAGGGAAGGAAATCGAGGGGTGTGGTTTAATTTCATCCTCCAAGAAGTGTCAACAGATTTTTTGCTGCGATTTTAGGTGCAATGTTCGTCTCCTGATGTATGTGAATGAGTAGATGAGCCATGAATGTTCATGGACTCAGAACATTCATCTACTCGCCGCATCCATCAGAAGAAGAACATCGCAGTAGAAATCGCAACAAAAATTGCACGTGTAAACGAGACTTAAAGTTAAAGGCACAGTTCAGCCTGTTGAACGATGGTTTTTAAGGCGCATTTGAGCCCTTTTAATTGAAAAAACTAACTAGGAAAATCAATTAAGCATAATTGAAGATCGCCAAACTTAATGTTTTTAACATTTTAAAACATTTATATTGTTAAAAACATCGAGTTTACTGATTTTGAATAATGCTTAATTGATTTTCCTAGTTAGTTTTTTCAATTAAAAGGGCTCAAGTGCGCCTTAAAAACCATCGTTCAAAAGGCTGAACTGTGCCTTTAACGAGCATCTGTTACCCAGTAACACATACTGATACCCACAACATGATAATTAATCTACAGTATATTCACTTTCAAGCGGAGAAAGATGTTTGAGGGAAAAAGATTGGTCAGCATCATTCTGTTGGAAATCGCTCCGTCCTAATTCGTATCATTTCCAAACCTGGCACCATTAATTCCCATGGTCTCAACCTCCAAGAGTTTCCAATTCTCAAATAGTTAAACTAATATAAAGACGTACACATGCAGCGACCACTGGGAGGGGAGTCAGGCAGCAATAATTTCCAAAAACCTATGATTAATAGCTAAAGAAATTTGTAACAAAGCTGTGACAATTATGCATGAAAAATTTAAAAAACGAAAGGAGGGTCATACATAGAGCGGCGGAGGGTGGTCATATCGTGGCAACCTCGCCTTGCCCTCCAACTAAGTGTCCGCCAATGAAGACAGCCATTTTAGATACACTGAGAGGATGTTCTGATACGTGCAAACTATTTTCCTACCTTATCTTGTATGGTCTCATCACGTTCCTGAATTTCTTTCTTCAGTCCATAGATATCTTTCTCCAAGGACTTGATAACACCTTGAAGTTTGTTCTGCTCACCATGGAGACGTTGTATCTCAGTCTTGTAATCATCAATTTCCTTTTGAAGACTTGTGAACTGAAATTACAAACAGTCAGTAAACCAACTGATACACTACAGTATCTTCAATACTAAAGATTAAAATGCTGGAAATTGAGCTTTGCTAGAAAGTAAGCTTTGATCTTTTCAGTCTTTTAACTATATAGAGAACGTTCAAAGGAGTAATAACAGATGATCTGCTCTAAACTTGACGACTACACAAGGTGTATAAAAGTAGACAATTTTAAACTATACTGATAATTCTGCAATATGTGTGAAAGATTTATGTGAATTTGGGCATTTCGAAATCACTCTTAAAATGTTATTTTCGAATGTGAGTGCCTGGGCTATTTTCAGAAACCACATTGGCGGCAAAAAACACCTGAAAGTTTAAAAGCAATTTGAAATCAAAGGGTGGAAGTCTGAAGGTGTTTTATGAACTATCATGTACTTTACTATTTGATGGACGTCAAGTCCACCGGTCGACCCGTAAAACTCGGACTTTTACAATATTGTCTACCTGTGTAGGGTAGGTAGGGTATGACATAATTCCACTTAAAAGACTAAGGCAGACAGTTTAACAGAGACAAGAAACTGTGGAGTGACATTACAAAAAATCCTAATCATTGCCTCCACGATTTGCGTGTGAATAGGTCTTTTAAACTCTATTTAATATCCATAGTACTCATACTGTATTATATTAATTTTGTATTTTAAACATACTGTAGCCTTGTAAACTGGCACAGTTTGTTGTTCGGTATGGTTTAATTTTATATTTGAATAAAGAATAAATAATGAATTCATTTAATTTAATTTTAATTATTAACCCTTTATGCGTCCAAATCTAGGGATATGGGTCTTACCTCCCGAGATCAGTGGGTCTCACTGACAAGAAAATTGTTTTGGCGTAAGACAGACAGATTTGCTATACATATAAACATGTACTTATAAATGGTGAAATATCATTACGCTATGAACAGTATACAACATAAAATCGTCTTCACCTTTTTTCTCATGATTCCTGTCTCTCCTTTAAGTCGTAAATTTTGTTCCTTCTCTTCTCTCAGCCGACGTTCGTATTTATTCTTGATATCAAGTATTTCGCGGTCAGCATCCTCCTCAATTTGACGTTTGGTTTCTTCGTGTTCGCGTACTTGCTGCCTTGATTCATCTTGAGACTACAAACAAAAGGCATTATTTCAGTTCACATGCAGGGTAATCTGAAGTATCGATATCAATACGGACCAATCGAGGACGAGAGTGCATGAAAGTTGACACTCACGCAATTTTGGTCAGCTGTAGCCTGCGTAGCTGGCGGTTTTAAGGTTTGCAGTTGAAGCGCGGGGGCTAGGTTACCTGCTCTTACTGCTTTCCCAACACTATCGCGTAGTTTGTTTAAATTAAAACGTCTTTGAAACCCCCATCATTTGTTAATATATAGACAGGGCCGCCGAGAGGGGGGGGGGCAAATTGCCTCTAGAAATTTTTTGTTAGACCCCAGCAAATTTTTTGTTGGGCCTCTTGCGCGCAAAGGGCAATATATTTGGCTTTTTTGGGCAAAATAACGAAATTTGGTATGAAAAATTGAGGTAAAGTCGAAAAAATTTTTGTCCGAAAAAAATTTTATCCGGAAAAAATTTTGAAATAGGGGCCCCTAAAAAAAATTTGCCCCGGGCCCCCGCCAAGCTCTCGGCGGCCCTGTATATAGAGCTTGAAAAAAACAAACAAACAAAAAAAACAAAAAAAACTTCGTCCCTAATTTCCGCCACTGGGTTTGCATAGCGGGCAGTAAATTGTTTAAAACCCAGTTTTGAGCCTTTACTAAATTCAACACTATTTAGGATCTTCTCTAAACCTAGGCAAGCTTAATATTTTTAAAACATTTTCTGACAACTCGGTCCTTTGACTTTGAGAGGGGCTGTTTACCCAAAGCACTCTCTCAGTACACATGCTGAGCTCTTTGATCTGGTTTATTTGGGAAAATATGTTTCCATACAGCGTTTCCGCAACTTTCTGCAACAATAGGGCTATTTATACGAGCGGATATATTAAAGGCACGGCTTAAATAAGTCGCTAACGACTCTACAAACAGTCAATTTGCAATAAACCACGGCTTCTTTAGGGCTAGCTTTCAATCCTGGGGGCTGTTTTAGCCGCGGCTTGCTAACAAATGGGCTGTTTATACGAGTTGTTCGTGACGAATTGTTTAAGCCGCAGCTTATTTAGGCTGCTGATTATTTTCGCTCGCATAAATGGCCTTGATGTTTCCCAGTTTGAGCCAAGTCTTCCACTGTTATGACTGAACTTATCATTTGGTAATAAGTCGAAGATATCTTACTTGTTCCAGTTGACCAGTCTTTTCTTGTAACTTTGTTTCAAAATATTCTGTGAGTTCAGATAAAGCTTGTTCCTTAGATGCTTCCATTTCTTCCAGTTGCCTATCATAATCTTCTTGCATCTTCTGACTTTTTGACTGCAGTTCCTGATACTTCTCGTATTCTGACATCAGTTTCTGATTATTCGCTGATTCTAAATCCTAGCACAAAAAAACAAAGTTTTGCAACTCTGATTTGCTGGTGTCTAATAATGTTGAACAAGGAGTTAGAGTATAACTATAAGAGGATAGCCGAATAAACGGTTGATTGAAATGAGGGAGAATTTACATATAAGGGAATGTTTCTGAAGTCGTTCGTAAACAATTAGCAAATCATATGGGACGACAATGCTACCATGGCAGTTCGTTGAACTAAACGATTGTAAGGAAAACCTGTCGTCTATTATTCATCGTATGAAATTAATAAAACAAGGATTTATGGTCCAAAAGAATTCCAGGATAAAATTTGAAATAACCGTTGTTACAGCTTGTAATGTAACCGCTGTGTACCAGACGTGATAATCTGTGATTTGCCGTTGTAAACAGAACGAACTGAACGAAGACGAATCTAAATGTTTTTATGAAATTTTAATTAATCATTTCTTTTCTACAATATTATGATTGTCATTATACTAATGGCCGTCGTCGATGCATTTGCGTCCTTCTGGGTTAAGGTTCCTAACACCGGTAGTTTATAGTTTTTAAACCTTGCTTAAGTTTGCTATTTTGCGTGGGCAAACGAGGAGATAAAAAAACAGGCAGTGGATATTTTATTTCTATTTCTGTGTCAAATTAGTACTAAAATCTAAACGAGCTGATAAAGTGAAGGAATAGCGAAATATGAGCAATTGGTAGTACTAATGATCTCTTAGAATGACATGTTTGAGGCACTTACCTGCAGTTCACGTGAATGTTTCTCTCGAACGTCAGAAATCTCCTCTTCATGTTTGGCTTCTTCTTTTTCTTTGTCCGTCTTCAAAACTTGATTCTTAGTTTTCAGAGATTCCATTTCTTGAATGAATTTTTCCGTGAGTTCCTTGATTTTCTCGTTATAGTTCATGTCTTTCAATCTCAACTGATACTCGTTCTCCATCTTTAATTCTTCCACACGTGTTTTCAGTTCAGCCATCATGGAATTCTGGAAAATAGAGATGGAAATGAAAATCAAATTTAATCATTGTTGATTAATTCTACTCAGGCTCATGTAGTAAGATGGGTGCAAAAGCGCAAAGGTCATTTTGCTATACAGTCAATGTGATGTTGGTACTGTAAGCACTGGCCGATCCAACGGACTGCAATGTTGTTAGTGGTGGCATTGTTGTTGTTGATTTGGTAGTGTTGATGATCCTGATGGTGGTGATAGTGATAATGATGATGGTGGTGGTGAAGACGGTGATAATGGTGCCAATGGCTGTGATAGTGATAGTTGTTGTGATGATTGCCGTGATGTCGATGGTGGAGGCGGTGATTATGGTGATCATGGTGATATTGGTGATGGTCGCACTGGTGGTAGTAGTAGTGATTGTAATGATGGTGATCATGGTGGTGGTGATCATGGTTGGTGCATGGTGATTATGGTGATGGTGATCATGGTGATATTGGTGATGGTCGCAATGGCGGTAGTGGTGATCATGATGGTGATAGTGGTATTGTGGTGGTATTGCTATTGGAGACTGCATGATGGAATTAAATTTCTATAATTTATACAGTGTATGAAAGCATAGTTAACATTATGTACATGTAGCATACGAAGCTAAGGCTAAGCATGGCATAAAATGTCACAAATACAACATACACGTACCTTTTCTTCTAAATCCGATTTGGTGATAAGAATTTCCTCCGCATAAACAATGTCTTTGTCTCTTTTCAAACCTCGGCCTTCCTTGTCTGTTGCCTTGTAGATGAACAAGGAAGCATCTTCACCCACAGTGAACATATACTGATCGTCAAACGACATTCGCATCTATAGGAATCATAAAAATATACATCATTACTAATAATTTACAGAACTACTGGTACGTAGCATTGTACACACATAGCCTCGACTTCATTCTTTGAAAAACAGACAGAAACTTTACACGTAACTAAAGCTGGAGTTACACGAGCAACAAAATTGCTGCAACTTGCAACAAAATCCGATTTCAACGCATGTTAAGTAGAAATGTCGACACATGTTGCCTTGTGATTTGTAATTTATGTGTAAACATTTTCAATTAACATGCGTTGAAATCAGATTTTGTTGCAAGTTGCAGCAATTCTGTTGCTCGTGTAACTCCACCTTAAGACTGAATAAAATTCAAAGTAATCAAAGAACCAAGTCTATGGTTTCCTCTAAGTTTATAATTATAATTGTATGGTTCCGTTTTAAATATTTTTAATGAAAGAAAGGCTAAAATTTTGGCAAGATTGCGGAGAAATGAATGAATTTCCATTACCATTTTGATTTATATACAGTATATTACTCAGCAGTGACACTTCTTGAAATATTAGGGTGCGATTTTAGGTTTGGTACTGTACGTTTTAGTCCTCAAACATTATTGTCTCATATTTACGATTTTGTCGTGTTTTAATCAGCCATGCTATAACTTAGCTGCTACTTTAAGTTAATCAGCTGCCGTTTAGACTTTTTGTCCGCCACTGCATTAATTAGAAATTCATAAGAAAATTAGTAAGAAAAATACAAGATGTACAGCAGTACATGTAATTATGTATCTTGCCCATTTTTATTCCGGACATTACACCCGCCTTCCCCAAACTTTTCTATCCGGATTTCAACTGTTCACAAGAATAGTTCTGAAGATGATTGGGAGACAGAGCCCTCTCCTTGCTACGTTACTGCCTGCAGCCAGTTTTAGGCTCACCTAACCTGCGAACAGGTATACAGTGGCTACGACTCCCAGGTTATAATTCAGAGATACAACAGTTGACACAAAATAAGCAAGAGGTGGCAAGCAATTCAGTACCTTAGTAATAGCTCCAGTATGAGCTTGATGTTCTTGCCATTCACCAGGAACAGTTAAGGGAAACTTCATGGCCCGAATTGTACCAGTGTTGGTTCCCACAAATAACATTCGACCTGAGCGAGACATGCTCACTTGTGTTAACACCATGTCACTGGACGACACTTCACGAAGAATCTACAAACCAGAGTTCGTATACATACAGTAACAGTTTTTTTTGCGTGATTGACAGGTTAATTATTTACTGGCGGGCAGTGCAGTGTTATTATGTTAAACAATTGATCTCAAAACTCGAACCTTCCGTTGAGCATTTTTTTTCGAACAGAAAGGAAGAAAACATATGTAATTAATTTCTTAATAAATAAGTTCAGCGTTGGGACGCACTGTACTACACTGTAGATTTTCAAAAATGCCCGATTGAAGTACGACGTCATGGCCACACTAGGAAACGTTCTTTCCATGTTTCCTATTGGGCGAATTAAAAAATGCGTTAAGGAAAACGAAATATGTTTCTGAATTTGTTTGGGAACATTTTTCAAGGAAACATCAAAAATTTCCAATGTTTCCACGTCAATGAATTAATGCTGCCTAAACCTGGCCAAGGATTGATTGCTGAGGTTAATGACAGTTAATGGACAGGTCGAAAACTCCATCGGTCTAACCTACACAACTGTTTTTCACTTCAATCGTATCCTACTAAAGCGTAGCGTATTTTGTTCTTCTTTTACCACTATACTGTAGGATAGAATTAAATGGCTTCGATATAAAGTCGATTATACTATGAAATTATACTACCGTACATACCTGTGAATCACAGATCTCTTTTAATGTTTTATCAGAACCAACAGCGTATGTGGTCCTGCCATCAGGAGACACAGCCACACCAGTATAACTACATGACTTTAGAACACTCTCGCCATCACGTTTGCCAGTGTACACATTCCACTCATACACTGCTCCGTCCATACCACACGATATGATCTTTGTGTCATCTTGACTCCAAATAACTGACCGAACCTTCAAAATATTAAATCAATACTTCAATCATGGATAATAAAATAAATGGATAGGACTCTAGCTGACGTAAGCAAAAACAACCTGGTTGCAATCTGTGACGTCACGCGTATTGCAAAGTTCTCGGGATTTTTGTTGTTTCGCTATACTTTCCGCTTTAAAAGAGTAATATTGAAGCATAAACTGGTCTAATTGTTTTAAAAACATGCCTAAGCCACGACAAAGTATTCAAGGTAAATGTTTTTCGTCTTTGTTTTGTATTTTTTTACATTTGTAGCTACGAAATTGGCGTCCCCAATTTTAACGAAATTTGGGATGCATTTTTCACTGTTTAGTGCTTGAAATATTTGCTACCCATTTATTTTATTATCCATGCTTCAACTGCCGTATACATTCATAAAGCTTCTTTACTGCAAAAGGCATTCAAGATTACCGGCGATAATAATTTAGTTTATATTCATGCAACAAGGGCAATCGATCCCTTGTTTCCCCAGTGTTACGATGGAGGAAAAGTATAGAGCACCCAAAGAAATCATGAAATGTTTGATACACTCGAACTGGAAGAACAACTTGAACAATTTTTACATGATGAAAGGCTATTCTGACATTTAAATCGTCTTTATAGTTATCATGATTGTACAATGCTTCACACTGTTCAGCCCTATACTGCATGTAGACTAAAAGGATTGACATGTGTTCGTGGGTTACACTAAGCTCAATAATTAAATACTCAAGGCTACTTATAAGTTCGGGAGTCAGGGAATGGCGGGGCTAACTCCATAGCCTAAAGGGCTAATTCCAAAGTATGCGCTTCAAAACTTCAAAACATAGAATCCTGAAGTTACAGACCAACTCCAAAAATCACCTGGAGGAAATGAAGCTACAGTAGCTATTTCTACCTGGAATTACTAGCTAATTGCAACTCCAAACATTCTAAGCTACCTCCACATAAAAAATCTACAGGCATGTTCACTCCCTGCTCGAATATAAATTATTTATCGTAGATCTTGACCCAAATCCCAGCCCCTTCCCTAACCCAACGTTCCATGTGCGCGAAACACGAGAATAGAACTATCAACGTATTAAAGGGTATCCAAAAGTACAATGTCCCCTACCTTCCCATTATGTCCTTTAAGATTTCCAACGTTTTCGAAAGTTGTAGTTGAGTAGAGTTGAATTACATTTCCGTGAACTGTGGCGAAATAGTGACCGCCATTGCTGAATGAACACTGGAAAGAAATTAAGAATTAAAATCTTTAAAAACTCCCTAAAATTCAGCGTCGACGGCCGCAATGTCAATTCTCGTGAGTAGAATGGTTTTTGCCAGCCTGAAAGGACAGAAACAGTCGTTCTCGCTGTTCCCAACGAGGACCCGTTGTCAGGACTTGTTCCATTTTAGGCCGACTCGGAACCATCCACGAAGCGTTAAAGCATTTGAGTGTTAAAAAAAAGCAAACACAAATCTCAAAAAATAAACACCCAGTTTATAACATTTTGAGATCTTGAGCAAAGGTATAATTTAGACCAAAATATACAAGGGAACTTATATTACTGAAAGATCTAACTAGCCAAAAAAGACTTCCATATTTCGAATGGAAGCAATTAGATCCTACATTTTCATCGCCGCTTATACTAGAACCATATGCTTACACTAGAATCAGCTCATTCCAAACGGGCTTTTCAGTAGCCGATTACATCAAACATCAAGTATTACGCTTACAGTATCTTTAGTCATCAAGTATTACGCTTACAGTATCTTTAGTCATCAAGTATTACGCTTACAGTATCTTTAGTCATCAAGTATTACGCTTACAGTATCTTTAGTCATCAAGTATTACGCTTACAGTATCTTTAGTCATCAAGTATTACGCTTACAGTATCTTTAGTCATCAAGTATTACGCTTACAGTATATTTAAAACAACTGTAATTATATTATTTTCCCAACTACGCCTATCCTAACCCACCCTGTCCTGTCAACTTTCCCTTTAAGTGAACTGTATCTTTGCTCGTTTTGTAGTTTTACAACTTACTATATGAATCAACCTAAACTTTACCTCGCGACATCCTCGTATTGTAAATTCTTTGAATGTCCTGATCTCATCAATAAGAAGATTCATTAAGCGCAATTTATCGCTAAATCCAACCAAAATGTAAAGTCCTGATGGATGAAGAGCGATGCTGTAACATTCCTCTTGAAACTCACGAGACAATTCCAAGGAACTAGAATTGAAAATTTAAACTATTTGAAAGAGAAGCCACGATATTTATATACTGTACTACAGTTGATGTCCATTTAAACTTTGGTTTTTAGAGATTTAATAAATTCTTATTAAGGGACCGGTCATTATTTATGGTGGGGAGTGGCACCGAAGAGAAATGTTTTTCGTGGCAAAAATTTTGCTGACCCAGCCATTAAAAAATCAAAAATTTGATTACCCAACCTCAAGTATCATTTAAAAAATAAATACCCACCCCTGGCCAAAACGTTACAAAAGGATGTCATTCAGTTGTCACACATGGCACAAGTCCTTTACCACTTCTGTGATACGTTTGATAACGTTCGGCTTGTGAATGTTTGATAGTTTGATAACGTTCGGCCTGTGAAATTTACTGACTTTTCTACAGTCTAAAGTTTCATGTTGTCTGCACATTTACTTTCTTTGGAGACACCATTTGTCCCCCAACAAATCGGAAAATGATGAAGATATAGATTGATTCACATATTGTATTGACATATGACTGTTGACATTGAAGTTTTCAGTCTTCAATATTTGAGTGAGTCATGCTTTGGAAATGACAATAAATTTTTATTACCCAACCTTTGAGTTGTTTCGCTTTTCATTTACCCAACCTTTTACTCACTCAAAATTTTGTTTACCAAACCTTTTCTCTTCGGTGCCACCCCCCGCCATAAATAATGACCGGTCCCTAACAACCGAACGCGAGGTTTGTACAGAGAAATATCGGACTGAGGTCTTTTTTGTGCAGACCGAGCCCGTGGGGCGAGGTTTGTCGAAACAGACCGAGGTCCGATATTTCTCTGTACATATACCGAGCAAGCGAGGCGTTAATAAAAAGTTTAGTATATGGCATTTATATTAGTCAATTATACTTGAAACAAACAAAAAATCTATGATTTGAAATGCATGATTTGAAATGCATATTTGTTGCGTGGTACACATTTTGTCGAAGAAAACAAAAAATACCAATAATGTATTCCTTCTTTTCCACTAAAAACCATAGATGGATTTTCATATTTTTTACTGGGGTGGTGCCAGAAATTTTAGTGGGGTGAGCCGCGAGGAGGTGACTGAAGCAACACAAAGTGTCACCAAACCCCAGTAAGGTCTATATTCTAGGGGTGGAGCACTAGAGCCGCGAGTGGGAGTCTAGAGAGCAGAAAACAAAGTATCCCTGAAAAAAAATCATGATTTCTAGCTTCGAAAAAAGTTTTTTTTAAGTTGTCATATCAATGGATTTGGCCTATCCAATTGTCTGTCGAGACTTGAGTTAAATGAACCTGTAAAAGTGTAAACCCAATAGGCCAATACACAATATGCTTTTACTTTTATAAAATCATTGACATTGTGTCGTTTGAATCCGAGTACAATTTATGATGCATCTCCGATGTAAATAATATTTGGGACGTAAAGATTAAATCTAGGCAAGACTATTTCCTAAAAGAATTAAAAACTAAAAATAATGTTCGTAAAATTTCCAAACGTTCCTTGCAAGCAAGCTATTTGCATGACAAGGCACTGCAAAC